CACAGGAACCGCCCCGATCTGACTTACGGAGACTTAAAAAAGAAAATCAAATTCGCGCGAACAAGTCTCGCTGCAGTTACCCACCTTTCGCTGAAATGTGTCGATATCAAACGTTTTTTATCAATTCTGATCTTCATCCTGATTTAATGCTCAAAGAATCTGACCAGATCCTGATTAGAATAAAGTTCACATTGCAAGATTTCTAAAATCTGCGTTGTTCAAATCACCATTCGAGCCGTGGCTAGCAGCGACAGAAGCAACGGCCGTTTCCACGCCAGAACCCGGGGGTGACACATTGTCACGCGCGATCAATGTGAACGAGTTTTTTTTTCCGGAGCGATACAAGCCGTCAACTCGCCGACATAGTCCCATAGGCGTACCCGAGGACAATGGTAGAAGGCGTGCGAAGCCGACAAGTGACATGCATTCTTGGGAAACATAACAGAGAGGTTACTTTCTTCAAAGTAGAAATGGATGGTCTCATTAGATAATGAGGGACTTTCACAAGGAGACACTGGAGGATAAAAGTTACTCTCTCTGGTGTTGTATAAAGATTTGTGTGGTCAGGGGACGAATTTTTGTTTTGTATTTGTATCTCTGTGGTACGAGAATAAAAGTAATTCAGAATTACTATTACCACTGACGTAGTTATTTTACATCCATGAATTTGAATTTAATGTATATTGCCTCTCAATTAAGTCAATAGAGTCCAGTTCATCGTACTATTTAATCCATAGCGGGGGGGAAGAGGGCTTTATACGTTTCAAAAGTATCAGTGCTAACAGGAACTTAAATGAGTAGACAGGAACTTGAATGCGTCTTGCGGGTTCATTTTCGCGCCGATGACCTTTACACTACCCGCTCATCCATAGAGAGAATAATAGATGTATAAAAAGTAGTAAACACACAAGCACTCAAGGTATCGGAAAAGGAGTTCGACCTTTGGTGAAACTCTGCTGATAGCTGATGAGGTCAATTCCAAATATCAAGCAGGGATGAAATTTGGTTTTTATATCTATATAAGGACTGTTTTAAAATAGATCCACTTTTCTTGACCTTCTATCCCGTGAGATTGCCCTCCAGGTTGATGATAAGGTAAAATAAAGAAATACAGTCTATTAGCCTAGCTCATTTTACGAGCAAACGCGAGCGTGTCGACCCTTCCCCACATAAATACTTATATTCGGTCTCTTTTGTTATGAGCTATTTCATGAATTATCGATATATAAAATAAATACTTACAAAGTAAAATTAGTAACTGCTTTCGAAAATGACACCCATTCAGTTGTTAACTTGATAATTTGATATTTCCGGATCATCATTAACTGATTCCTCGTGATCTCTGTAATTTCTTTAAACGGTGATTTTAGCTATGAAAAAAAAGTCAAATATCAATGTGACAAATTAGTAACAGACTTGGATAATTTGATGCCTTCCCTAAAGTGATAGCTTGTAAATTTTAACGCCTGTAAAAGAAAACTGCTTTCATTTAATCACCACAGAGAACCTTTGCTGTCTGTCATCAGCATGGCTGATGCTTGATTCAGGGAGAGTGTTCCTCTCTGTCTTCTTGGGCTTACATTTTCCATTGACATGAAGAGGAGGAATTATGTCGAATCATTTGCTAAATCTGATGGTAGAAGAATTGGATTATTATCGTGTCAGCCAATTCTTCTGGTCAGAATCCATCTTGCACATTTATAATTCTACAATTTATCTCTGCATTGAATCTTGCTGCCATATATGGTCTGGTGATCTTGCTATAGATTCTTGACAAAATTCAAATTAGGATCTGACCTGACATCTCGACTTCAGACACTTTCACATCGCCATGTCGTGGATTCCCTCTGTCTTTTCTACAGATATTTCGATGGCAATTATTCTTATGAACTGTTCTCGTTTGTGCCTCGACTACATGAATTTAAGCGTGCTACTAGATTGGCAGTTAGGTCTCACTGTTTTACTGTTGAACTAGCAACCGTCTGTTCTATTTTAATATTTGCTTTTCTAGCACTTCTCTCCTATGAGAACTTTCTTCCGATATCTCGCTTCCTGACGCCCACAATCTTCAAAAATTTAACTGCAACGTAAATCAATATCTTATTGTTGCAGTTTTTTGTGTATATATGTACTAGTGAGTTAGCCCAAATGACTTGACTCACTTTATAGTCCACCAATAGAAGGTTAATCAATCAGAAGACGTAGAACATTTAATCCGTCGTGTATAAAGGCGGCCATTTTGTTTACCCTACTCGAATGTCTAGTTCCAGCTTGTCAGGCGAAGAGAAACAGAAGGACGAACTACGCTCTGCTACCTTTTACCAACATATCCACTGCTAACCTGAACAACGCTTTCCTACTGTCTTCGAAATATTCACGGCTAACCTCTGGATTCTATACTCGAAGACGACCGTCATCATGAACAACACTTATGTCTTCTTGAATCGTGTTCCTTTATTGTTCTATTCCATAGTTCTCATGTCTTTTCATTTTCTTTCATCCTTTGTAACTCTCTACATCATAGCGGCTTTATCGCCTTGCTTGGGTGAACTGATTAAAAATGGTCTATTTGCTGAATGATGGCAACACCTATGTGTGCACTTAGGATAAAAGCTGATGCATTCTGTACAGGATCTAAAGAAACAGCAGTCGTTTGTATGAATTTTTTCTCAATTTCGAAAGTAATAGACACTTTGGGAGTTTAAAGTTTTAAAATGGGTCGTAAGTTTGATTTTGTGGATAATGATGTATGTTTAATACCTTCAGAGTTTGCAAAAGGTAAAGCAATGCTAGAAATTGCAAAAATCATCGCTAGGTATTACTGAACTGGGTAGAAATTACATAAAGAGTCTTCCATATTTGAAAACAGTCTACAAACAGATATTTCGGGATCATCATTAGCTGATTCCTCGTTCTCTCTGTAATCTCTTTAAACGGCGATTTTAGCTATGAAAAAAGTCAAATATCAGTGTGACAAATTAGTAACAGACTTGGATAATTTGATGCCTTCCCTAAAATAAATAAATAGATAAAAAATAGGATGAAATAAGAAATTAAAAATAAACAAATTAAATCTCTGTCCGAGACATAAACAAACGACTGGTATATTGTCAGGTTTGGTTTGGTTTGTTTTACGGCATATCAACCACAATGTGTCATTTAATACCGACAACTTTTTTTTTCCTGGTAATATTTTTGTTTTGTCAAAAATCTCTTTCTGGTAATATTTGGATAGCTGGTAATATTATTTTCAAAAACGTATTGCTGGTAATATTTTTTTCAAAAACGTATTGCTGGTAATATTTTTTTTTTCAAATTGCTGGTAATATTTTTTTTTCTGGTAATATATTTTTTATTTTTTTTCAAAAACGTATTCATTTCTGGTAATAATTTTTACAAAGTATTTCTGGTATTAAAACCTATTTTTACACTTTCATAATGCTTTTTGCCTCAGTTTCGGGGTTAACTATTTGCCCATAGCTGGGACCCTAACAGGTGCTACCACCCCGGGTCAGGATGGACGAGGAAACACCAGCAATTAAGAGGTATTTCCACGCTCCTCAAAACCTCCTGATCAGAGGTCTTACTGTTGGACGTAGTTTATCGTTTAACCCAAGACGCGGATGTAGTTTATCGTCATACCCAGGACGGTACATTGTCAGGGTGAATACGCCACGCCTATGCACTATCAAAATGTCTGGTGTGTCAACGCTGATTTAATAACTCCACCGGAGAGTGTCTGTCCATATATACGCAGTAAGGTTCTCTCTGACTGTTTTCGAAATCGCATTAAGGCCATTCAATCGATTATCGATATTTTCAGAAGGGGTGGATACTTTCCCCAACAGATTTCGGAGGTAAACAACATCGATAGAGCATATTTTGCAAACATGCAAATAAAGAAGAATTACAATTTCAAAAGAATTTTTTTACAGTTAAGTGGTCATATATTGCACCATAAAACTGTTGTTTATCTGAATTAGGTTAGAGAAGACAAGAGCCAGAAACACTCATCTCCTTCTTGTGTACCCGCGTGTTTTAAAGGTTTATTATGAAGGGTTATAAATCAATAAATCGACTGATCGATCAATAGCGAAACAAATCAGAGTTGATGAACAGAGAAATCAGTGTGCAATGGTAGCAGGAAAAATAAATGAGGAATTTCAAAAGTTGTTCGTGCTAATGAATTCGTTCCTTTTATTGCCTTTGTTGCTCTCGCATTTCGGTCGATACGGGTTATGCAGAAAGAAGGGCTTCTCTTTCACGCTAGGAGATGCAAGCCAGAAAAAAAAGATAAACAGAAAAGAAACCAAATATGTATTACGATTGACCTAACATCCGAAGAAGGTGGTAGAATGGCGCAGTAGGAACGGAGTGATAAAAATTGATTGATTCATTTTCTACGGCTTATCAACCCATTGCAGGTTATTCAAAGTCAGAAAATATTTTTAGACTGGAAGAATATTTTTTTGAGATAATGATTTGGTGATGCAATGATTACTAATTAAACCATAGCTGGGGAGATGAGCTAGATTCAAACTTCACCAGGATTTGATACGCAAACAAGAATTTATAATATGGTTATAAATTGGGGGATCAATTCTATATTACAATCAGTATAAAAACTGGGCCCTCACTTTGTGGCTTTGGTACTTTCTATACATTTATATTCCAGATAATGTTAATATATATAAAATACGTGTGTAGCTAATCAGTATTTGTTTGATTGATTTGTTTTCTACCGGTTATTTTTTGCAGGTTATTTAAAGCCAGCAAATATTTTTTGATTGTAAGAATTTTTGGGGGAGATAATGATTTTGTGATACACGTTTTAATAATTAACCCATACCTGGGGGAGAATAGGTAGATACATAACTTTCGAAAGGGTATTTGCGTGTAAATGAATACAAAGAACCCAACTGGAATTGGAACTCGGCTCTTCGATTAACAATTCCGAGCCATTATCCATTACACCACCCGCACTTCCAAACATACTTTAACTGGTATTTCCAAGCGGTCACCCATCCAGGTAATGACCAGGCTTGACATTGCTTAACTTCGGTGACCCTACGGGAACTGGTGTTTCAACCTCATATGGCCGTAATCCTGTGTAATAAGAAGGAAAACAATAAGAAATGTGAGTTGAATAATCTAAACAAATTTTGGAATGATAAAATCTTAAATCGAAAATAGGAAATTATTATGATCTGATTTGCTTGGACTAATATCCTCATCTTTGCTGTTGTTTTCCAGCCTTCTTTAGGCGTCTCTTGTACTAGGTAGTCTTCTGAGAATTTCTAACCTAACACTTTATTAAATACACAGGGATCGACTGTTCACTTTCCGCTTTCTGTGCTAAAAGGAAATAACCCGTATCAATTAATTTGTCTTTCTGCTGTTGGTTGCCTCTTCCAAGAAACAGATAAAATGACTTTCTTCTTACATTACCTAATCCATTACATAACAGACAGATTACTAGATTCGTATAAACCGATGATCTTATCCACTATTATGCCCCTAAAGACAAATCGGTGGTAGAAATTTGGATCCTTAAACTCAATGTCGCCTGTCTACCATTTGAGCTGAATTCGACTTTTATACAAGCTGTATCGATTTCTTTTAGCAACTGATAAGTCTTCTTTTTTTAAACCTACATTATTTCTTTTCTTTATAAACGCTATAGTTGGTAGGTTCACGTGTTTGCCTGGATATTTTAAACAGTGAAAAAAAATAACCACTAGCTTGGAGATCGAGGTGTCCTATCAAAGGAAATGTACCTCCTGGCAGGAATAGGACATGTATTGCCTTTTCAAACGGAGACTCCATTTTTAAGTGTGTTTTTCTATTATGTCAAAGAAAGCCTCATAGCCAAGCAAAGCGATTCGTTTAGTAAAGCCTCTCCATCTCTATGTCGTATGACATTAATTTCCCTGTTTAAACAAGAGGGCCGAAATCATGACGAGCTATCAAAAATTATCATGAAGAGCTGACAAAAATTATAATTTTCAATATGGAAACCGAATGAGATCCACTTCCGGTGGAAAGAAGAAAAACACATTTATTACATCCTCATATTTAAGGCCAACACCACGGTCAAAGTAGGACTAAAATTTGAACCTGGCCTGATGATCCTTCGATTCGAGAATGAAACTTAAGTAGCATTGGTTCTACTTTTCATATATTAAGTAACGTCTCTAGATCTGTACGTTTCCCTGTTTAAAATGACTGGGCGATCTACTCGAAAATGTCTACCTACTAAATATATATATAGGAACCAGAAACAACATGTTGTGTAATTATTTACTAAAACGTTTCGATTTTAGGTCCAATGTGTAGAATACAAATGGAAGATCTCATTAGATAATGAGGGACCTTCACAGGCAGACACGGGAGACCATAAGTGACCTCCTCTGGTGTTATATAAACAACCAGGTGGCCAAGGGTCAAGAGTATTTTTGTATTGGACGTTTGCGTCGAGTTAGCAGTTCCGTCCCTCCGAAGGGCAATAGTTTCCTTTTGTATCTCTGTCATTTGTTGCATGAGTTAAGCAATTAAATCAAGGTTTCCACCCAATGCAGATGATTCTTTCTCTTCTAATGTCATTCTCAACTTTTTCCACATTTCATTTTATTTTTGTTCTTGAATTTTCTTTAGAGGAAAGATTACTTTTTTAAAACTGCGTGCGTTATTGCAATCGTCATAGCTGAATGCTGGCTTTTTTTTCCATAAAACTGACATTTTCAATAGCTTTTTCAATTTTAGTCCGCTGGAGAATAGTTTGAATGTTGATTTTCCTATGCTGATCTCAGCCATGAGTTACAATGAACTTTCACCAGCGTCTAGTCTGTTTAAAATTTCCACTTTTTGCGATAACTCCAAAGTTGTTCTTTTTCTCTTATTCCCATCATCTTTTGCACCAATACAAGCAATTACAAGCGAATTTTGGAGTTTTTGAGGATGAAATGGGACTAATGTTTTTAATTTAATTACAAAATTAAATTTGAAGATTTTAGCTTCCATTTTTGAAACATGGTTATTACTGTGTAGCAAAAAAACATATTTTAAATCAGTTAATTTATAATATTAATGCTCTGTAAATTTACATTTATTTTGTAAAAAATAAAAATATCAATAATAACACCGGATTATATATCTTACTGTTCTTTCTTTATATATATAGTTATACTTGTTTGGAAAAAATGTAGATATTTTGGCTTGTAATTGAACAAACCAGTGCCCAAGGAGAAATAAGGGACAAAAAAAAGAAAGAACTAAGAACATGTAATTGAGGCGAAAACAATCGTCCCGAATTCAAGCTCAGAGTCCAAAGAAAAAAAAAACCGGAAAACGAGTAAAGCAAAAGTAACTCTGTAAAGTGCTCAATACACTAATTAGAACAAACTGAACTATGAACCTAAAGAGCCAGGTAAACCTACCTAGGTTTCACCTACACGGATCGTCAGGGTTAAATGGCCAAAGAGGTAAGGGTGGAACAGAATATAAAAACAACCATGACCACGTGATTAAACAAAAAAAAAAAAAGATCAACCAAGTAAAACCGTAACTCAACAACGGTGGTGGTGGGGGGTATGTTTTTATTCAATAACGGAACAAAAAAAAAAAAACAAAAAAACAAACTATTCTAATAACCATATTATCCGTATAGGTGAAATCTAGCAAAGTTTAACTGGCTCTTTAGGGTATTATATATATATATATATATATATATATATATATATATATATATATATATATATATAAAAGTTATTACTTATTTCGGTTTCGGTAGTCACTCAAAGAACAGACTAAACTTCTAATTCTGCATATATATATATATATATATATATATATATATATATATATATATATAGTCCGTAACTGAATGACTATATATATATATATATATATATATATATATATATATATATATATATTTAAAATTTTTTGGAAGTTTCTTCTGTCATTTGATTGTATCAAGTGACTCTGTCGAAATTTATTGTATTTATATATATATAAATATATATATATATATATATATATATATATATATATATATATATATATTCTTTTTAGGCATGTTTGATTGAATAAATTACAAACATTATGCCTGCGTATTTTTAGCATAATCTGTTCATATTCACGAATATTTTTCCGTAAATTACAATTAAATAAGGTAAGAAATGCACTGTAACAGTGAGAATCAATTATTTCCCAAGTACTTTCCATCTATTTCTTGTAAGGACAAAAAATATGTGTCGCTTTCCATTACTGAAATGTTTTTTCCTTTTGCGTTTAAATGCCACGGCTAGCAGTTAGGATTTACCGTTCATTAGAACGTGACACGTTATCCATTATGTAATTTTTTCTTTTATTTTGGAATCTCAAGGTCGAGCGCGTATTAAAGTGTGAAAACATTATTACAGTTTCCGTAGTTGACACAGTGTCATTTTTAATGAAGATTACTTCGAGGATATGTACTTTTAATTTGTTATTTTCTTAATGTAGGATAGTTGCGTTATCAATCAGTATTTTTATATACTGTGACTGTGGACAGAATGGACGCATGGTGTAGAATAAGACGTCTTGATAATGTAGCTGTCGTATATTCAACATATATATTTGTTTTTCTGTCAGAAATACATTCTCCCAAGGGATATTTGAATTGATATATAATGTTGGTTTTACGTAACACATCAGTTGGTGAGGATGAGTTATTGCGAATAATTAAATTGTATTGTATTTTGTATAATATATGATTAATTTTATTTTTTTTATTAGGATCCATGGTAGATATATTTGTACGAATGAGGTTTTTTGTATGATTTTCTCATCCTGTTTGTAGTTAGCAAGAATTAGGTTCCATGTTCTATTTGACGTATGTTGAGGTTTTTATATGTCGTCTTATTTCTTCATCTACAATATGTCTAGGGAAATCATTATTAATGAGAGTCTGCTTAATATTTTTTAGTTCAGTGTAGAAAATCTTTTTTGTAGAGTAATTAATTTGTCCTCGGTTAATTAAATTCCGTATAAGTGCTATTTTGTAGTAATTAGAACATTCACTCTTATAGCTGAGAATGCAAGAGTTTTTGCTTGTTTTTTTTTATATCGGAAGGTAGTAAATAAGTTATTATTTTTGTCTATTAAAATGTCACGGAAAGGGATTTTCTTATCTTTGTTAAGTTCGTATGTGAATTTGAGGACAGTATTTTTTGAAAATTGTTTTGGACTTCAAGTATTCTTTGTATGTTTTTAACTAAAATAAGAATATCATCTACATATCTGAGGTAGATAGTGGGTTTCTTGGTGGGGCTAAATATATTATTTTCTGGGTTGGCTATGTAGAAGTTGGTGAAGGTTCGACCCAGAACTGAACCCATAGAAATGCCGTCTCGTTGTACATATACGTTATTTCTGTGATCATAAAATGGGACTTCGGTGGTACAGGTTAAAAGTAATTATCTTAGTATTTTAGGTTTAATTTTTAATGGTGAGGAGATGAATAGTTATATATATATTTGATAATAATGTCAATGGTTTCTCTAACTGGAACGTTAGTGAACAGATTTTCAACGTCAAGTGATGCTATGGTCTCATTTTCTTTTTCTCTCTATCACCTTTGTCTCTGATTATCCCACACTATGACAACAGAAAATCTACCAAGAATGGTGATATATTGTAAAAACCTGAACGCATATTTACCGTAGCTGAACTAGTGATCAAGGCACTTTCCAGATATTTTCGCCTCAGTGAATTATTTTCTCTTTTAATCAAAATATCATTCTCCATGTCAAAATTGTCAGTTTTGTTTTCAACAACTAATGCGTTTTGTGTGTTGTTATTTAAAATATCCCCTTTGTTTTCATATAGCCATTTGTTTAAACTTCTTGAAGGTTCCTCCAATGAATTCATTCTGGCAATTCCTGCATTTGATAGAGTAAATTCCTCCATCAATTATGGCTGGTTGTTTTGGCTTTTATTAAGTCTTTCATTGTTTTAGTTGTAGCTGTGACGAATTTTTATGTTGAGTTCATATAAATTCTTTTCTGTTGTAATTGTGTTCGTGGGTAGAATAATATATTTTTTTTTGATTAGTTGGGTTT